TCAGTTTTAGGGTATGGTCGGTCGGTTTCCAACGGAGTCGTATCGATTTTTCGTGAACGTGCTCCGGCTCACTTGCCATGTTGCTTTTTCTGACACTCAATGGTAGCTTATTAGAGGCTCTTGCAAACAGATTATAATGTCGTGAGAGACGTTCGACGTGTATCTTGCGCTAGTCGTAGCGTGGTCGCTCTATGAACTGGCCAGGAATGTGCACCGGCAACGACTCCGTGGAATAAATTGATAAGCAGAATTAGTGGCTCTGAAATGATAGACGCGCTCTCTGTGAATGGCATGTTGTGAGAGCTTATATAAACTTCATACACGGCCGAGTCATCACGCGTCCAAATTGAGATCAGCTGGAATTACTCTCAGAGCCAGCGATTTGCTCGTTTACCACATAGGAGCACTGTCTATTACGGTGTCGCACGGTGCTTTCTCCAACACTATTGGGCCCCCACACCTAGTTAATTTGTCGACCTGTCTCGAGTGCGGAATGATCTAATTTTTAGTTGAGGAAAAATATCGTCCGAAGTTGCTCCATACCACCAGATAGCGCAAAAAATTCTTTTCAGGATGTACTACTGGCGCCAAGAGAGTGAGTTCTTAATCAGCAATGAATATACAAAAAATAGTAACACAAAACGGTGAGAACTTTCCGGACAACCTAATATAACTCACCAGAAAAAGGTGTAGACAGGTGGCCGAAGCGGATCGTTTGAATCAAGATGTGGGCACGAAACCGTCTTCAATATCCGTTGCTGACCTCTTTGAAAAAAGTTACGGAGCCTTTTTAGAGGGAGGCATACCCACAATGGGCGTGAGGTTGCTTCGAATATAACATCGTAGCTAGCGCCTATGGTCCTTTTTTAATCTGGATGTGTCAATGGTGGCTTTGGTGCACGCTAGCGCTTTCTCTCCATACAAATTGGCGGAACTGGCAGACCACCAAAATTCAGGGTAAACTTGCAGACGCCGCGCCGGACCCAGTCGCCAAGGGCGCATCGTTGTTGGGGAATCCCCAACAGGGGCGGGGTCATATTATGGTCGCCAGAGGGGGGGAATTTAACTTGATATTAATTTTTTCATCGCTCGACGGCTCGATTCGACTGAGGGAAGGCCAAGAGGGCTGGGGGGGGGGTCGTAACCCATCTCTCAAAAAGGGGGTGCGTATAAGAGTCGACTAAAATTCTCCCAACGCATGATTGTTGCCGTGCAGTCGCCCCAACACGCCCCACTTTAGTAACGTAAGACTGCATGTGGTTGGCCTCATCTCTGCAATCCGATTGTAGTTTCATTCAATTTGCCTCCAAGCAGCCTTATACGTGGAACTCGTAGTGGGTAGTCCCCCTACAATCCTCTGTGAGTTCGTCCAGGGTCCGGAGCAGGTACAGAAGAAGGATTCGTGAACCGTTTATCCAACTCCATCCAATCGATGCAGGCCGTTTCACTTAAAGCTCCTTGGCTCGAATGAGTAACTGTTTATATTGAAAGGACGAAGAGAAAGGATTACTGGTTGGCTCCGCGCGTGAGCTGACCATTTTGGTGCCGATTTCCTTTCAAGTAAATGGAATCCAGGCGTTTTTTGCGGTATCGCTTCTCCAAATCGAAACATTGTTAGCGCATGGCGAACTGTCAAGAGCAGTTCGAAACCAGGGAATGTCATGATGTCGAGACAATTGTCTATCTGGACAAAACTACATTTATTTCACCTTTTTAAGTAGGATTTCCAGTGCGGTGGAGAAATGCAGAGAGGAAAAAATCTGTGCGCAGAACATTGTGCGCACTCATACAGTTTAATACATTGACGACGATGTAAAAGACAAGGTAGCGCGACGGCTCAGTCCTGCCTCGTGGGACGATGTTAGACAAATCCTCTCTGACGGTATAGTGGTCTAGATAAAGGACAACCCAAGTTCGCTGAAAACGTGTCCTCAGGGGTAGCCTGACCCTCTGAAACGAATATCACGGTCGCCTGGCACGAACTGCGTGGCGCCCGCCAAAACACTCCGCTCCAAATTCACTGTCTCTGAGGGGTGTCCGACAGTCTGGAAATGAATAGTCACACCTGTCAGTTGCGACACTTTCAGCCTCGTGGTTTGCAGTGTACGACTATGAAACATTCGTGAGAATCCAACTACACTCGCGAATCTTATGCCATCGTCAATCATAAAAAAATTGGTAAAGAAAGTTGGCCTGATTCTGGAACAGATCGGACAGTAAAAGGAATGTGTCAAAGATTCGTAAAAAAATTCACATTCTCGTCTCAAGATTTCCTGATATCAATTTTGATGAGATATCATTCGTTCATATTGAAAGTTACTAAAAGTGGCAGACGCAGAAAGATGGTGCCCGACCCACGCGTAAGTCATAAAGAAAATGGCTCGTCGTCAACATGCTAAAGAACTGGTCTTCGAATTAACTGCTATAGGCATTGTTGCAACATATGTGACTCAATTCTTTGCAATGGAAATGAAATGAATGATGCAGCACCCTTACATAGTCAACGATGTTTCAATTTCGCTCAAATTATATTGTTTCGTTCAATTTTGCTCGAATTGTTTAATGACTGATACCCAGTGAAGCTTTATCAACAACACACAATTTTCGTTCGAGCTTATTTGGCAAAGAAATATAGGCTTTTTACTGAGAATTAGAAGTCAAAAAAAATTTTTTTTGCTGAGACTTTTGAGTTGCCCACAAGAAGTAATTCGTGTCGCTGATCACGAATATAGCATCCATTTTCGGCGCTGGCGCCATTTGGCGCCAGTTTGGCGCCGCCACTTTTCTCCCCAAATTCGATGTAAATTTGCAGGTAGGGTCACTTGACGTCCTGATAACGCATACCGCATTAGTTTTCAGCCCTGGCGCCATTAAGCACTGATTTGGCGCCACACCATTTTTCATCAAAATCGATAAAAAGTCTGCATATCCACTTAGTGCTGTTTCGGGCTGAACCTGGAGAAGGAGTGATTCCCTTCAGGCCAGTTCAGCCTTAGGCAGGGCATATGAGTGTCTTCATCAGCGCCAAAGTGCCAAAAATGAATGTGATATTTGTAATCAAGATGTCAAATAACCTCCGTATACAAGTTTTCAGCGGACTTGGTGACCTAGGTATTTTGGCGCCAGCGCCCTGTGACGGCAGTTTCGGGCGGACCCAATGTGATATCGTGTTCTGGAGTTGAACTACCCTGAGGAAAAGTTTTCAGCGAACTCGTGAATTTTTGGGTTTTCAGCGCCAGCGCAGTGGTGGCGCGGACGCCAGGCGTTTCAAGCCAGTGGATGTTGGATTGTCGTGTTCTGAGGTTGAATTGCCCCTGGGCCAAATCTGCCGGTCCGCAGAAAAAACGTCGTGTAAATCCGGTCTGTTTCTGAATTTGTGGTCGTACTTGAATAGTGCCCACTCTTTGTGTGCTTTTTAGAGATACGTGGTCCACGTCGCCATTCATTCTTAATAATCTCAAATATGAAACCTTAGTCTAACAGGATTACGAGAACATTTTTAGGGTTTCTATCTTGACGAATGCCTCTTTCACGCTTTACTTTCAAGTGTTTTTGTTTATTGGCCTCTATCTGCATGACCTATAATCAATGAGAAAAAAAAAACTAGGAAGTATCCAGAGATTTTTCTCAGTCTTCTCTCTGTATATTGAGGCGCGGTCCTGGAATTCTGGTCTCTTGCCAAGTGTGTGGGGAAATGAGTTCGTGTAAGCCTACTTTCTAAATAAAAAAGGACGGCCAATGAACAGCGCGACTCACTACTTAGTGGCTAGCTTTGATACGCCCACACACGTCCCCCCCCAACAACGAACGAATGACGAACCTCTCACATTGTCCTTTGTGGCGGTCCAACGAAACAAGAAAAATCGACTATGGCATCAGAAATGTCTCCAGGCAAATACACCCTTCCCTCAGACATCAAAGACGACTACCCTGTTGGGTAACCCTCAACGCTAACTATCCTGTTGGGTAACACTCAGCGTGCCGCTACCTTATACTCCACCCGCGGAGTACATTCATACACCTAATCGTTTGTTCTTGTAGCACGAAAGTATTCTGGGTCACGAAAGGGAACTGAAGAGCTACAGCAACAAGCACAATTTACAAGTGGCACGGTAGACCAAAATAATTCTTGTACGCATGTAGAAAGGAACCTCACAGTTTTCCTCGGGCTCTGGATATGGGTAACAACCTTTATTTACAAGTGTTCCCCGTTTTTATAGACTTATCAATCCGCGTCCTGCTGAGATCTTTGCATCCTGTGATTTCATCAAAACCGATCTGCACTGCGGAAAGGCACCGGGTTATATCACGATTGTCATAATGTTTTGCACTGTAATGCTTATTTTATGGGTGACAAGAAAACATCTACCTTAAGCAGCACCGACCTAGCAGGTGCAAAACATTATGACAATCGTGATATAACCCGGTGCCTTTCCGCAGTGCAGATCGGTTTTGATGAAATCACAGGATGCAAACAGCAGGACGCGGATTGATAAGTCTATGTGAAGCAGTCATGCCGGACAGCAGGTATTTCTCCGATTCTTGCTCCTTTTCGCGTTGCCATGAATGCTAGATTGGAGGACTTAGAAAATCTACATCACACAGGTCGAACATCGACAATTTTGCGATAATATCTTTCTATTGTCACATAGTTGAGTGTGGTTACTGAGTGTTCTGGTAGACTTTCCACCCCCATTATTCATTGCAATACCTAACCTTGTAGGAGTGGTGCCTTTCCGCGCGAAAGGATCCTCCCTGATGAGGTCACAGAAAACAGATGTACAAATCAGTGTCAAACAGTCACAGCGAAGTCTTGTTTCTGTACATAGGATTGGTTCAGGACAGTTGTTCAAACTCGGCAAGCATAGCGTGTTGGTGTATAAAAGTGAAGGGTAGCTCCTTCCTCATCGGCCTACGCTCTTCACAGTTGGTCTCCTCCTAGGAAATCACACTCTTCAATGCTTTCAGACCTTTTCAGAGGATGACATTTCATTTCAGGGATGAGACTCATTCTGCTTCTACTCTTCTTAGCTGTGGCGACCCACGCAGGTTTGCTGGATCTTGGCAAAGTCAAAGAATTCTTCAAAGGAGGAAATTTCGGCGAAAAAATTAAAGCCGCAACACTCTCGAAGTTCAAAAAGGTATACGCTGACGGATACCTTGGAAGTTGTAATTACTAAGCGCCGCGGCACTTTTAAGCTCTTCGAAAAGACTGGCGTTCTTTCACTTGGCAGCAAATTGACTGAGTTGAGAAGTAAGATGATGAAAAAGCTTCAACTATCGAATGAAAAGAAAGCAGAAATTGATCGCAAGCTCAAGGTAAGTGCACAAACGAAATCAGTGGAATCACTATCCAGTGATAGCGCAATTATTTTAGGAAATTGAGGAGAGACGAGATGATACCGTTGAAGACTTGAAAGACACGATATTCGAAATCAATTCAGAAAAGAACGTCGGCAAAGTTCTTTTCCAGAGTGATATCCTACTGACAAAGTCAGTTGATCAGCTCGTTCTATAAGACACACAACATTCTTTGAATAGCCATGTCCAGGAGGCAACAAGAAGAAGTAATGGAAGCCGTCGAAGGAACGTCCGCTCGATCAAAAGACAAGCGTTCAAGGATCAAGCATATCCTAACACCACATGGCAACAAGGAGTCTTCTACCGCTTCGACGATGGTGTAGGTCAGTTTCAGAGCTTTATTTTTCTTAGACCTTCATTTGTATTGAGTCAGTTGATAGTGTTCACAAAACAAAAGTACTCTAGACTTCATTACAAAGCGAATATTCGAAAAGGGGGCGAAACAATGGGAAGAAGCAACATGCCTCAATTTCACCGAAGATAAGGACAAAAAAGGTTCACTCGTCGTTGAAGAAGCGTCAGTGGTGAGATGATCAATAGATGACATTTCAGCTGAAAACAGCATTGTGCTAATCAAGGAAGATGGCTGCTGGTCGTATGTAGGACGGGTCGGTGGTGAGCAACCTCTCTCACTTGGTGACGGCTGTGATCAGGTAAGAGGTGGATACGTTTGTGAAGTTCACTCGAGAAACTTGTGGAACTGACATGAATTCTCACGTAACAATCGCTCTCCGCTTACCGCAGCACAAAATTAAGGTTGGAATCGCTACACATGAACTCGGTCACGCGCTTGGGCTCTTCCACACCATGTCACGATACGATCGTGATGAATTTATTACAGTCGTTCTTGATAATGTTGTGGTAAGTCACATATACACACTCTACAATAAGAACACAAGACAAGAAAATTCTATCCGTCTTCCAGGAAGGTTTCGTAGATCAATACGTGAAAGAGACAAATGAAACC